CACATTGCTCAATTATTTTAAAACATCTAATTTAAAAATGACTAATAGTAGAGTAGAACATAGTTAGATGATTATATTATGCTCTGTTTTGTTTGCTTTCACTGTATTTTAGATAAGTTTAAGAAAAAAAACTCAAGTTTAATCTAAAAATAAAAGTTCAACTTTTATTGTTTTAGGCATCATTTTTACAAACTCCTTAGGTGCTTAATTATGTCTGATAATTTAAGAAGTGAAATTAGACTTCCTTAAAATGAAAGAAACCCTGTTAGGCAAGCTGAGATAAATTGTCATCAAAATGAAAGAGATGAGCCTAGGCGAGCTGAGATGAATTGTAATAAAAATGAATGAAATTACGCTAGGTGAAAACTTAATAGGTGTGATATGCATCACTTAGTAAATTTAGTTATTACTTTATTTCTTTAGTTCTATTTTGTTGCTCTATCTTTACTTTGTCTACAGTTAAAATATGGTTTTGACTTGGTAAACTTTAATTATTTAAAATTTGCTAAGTTGATCATTACCTAATAGTTTAAAAATAAATTAGTTGTTGCAATCAAGGTAAGAATAATTTTATTTACTGATCAAATTGCAAAATTTGTTTGATTGCTATTGTGTTTTTGTTATTTTGTGTAATAGCTAATTGTCTTTGTAATAAATTTCTTTTCTTACAGATTTTGACTTTTTTCAACAATGCTCTAGAAAAAAGCAATAGCAACAGGTAAATTGATTTGTAGTTTTTTTCATTTTAGACATATCTCACAATGTATTTTCAGCTTATTGCATATCAAATAGAGAGCTCTCATCTCATAAAGTGTGGGCTTAAATTATGGGCAAAAGCTCCGCCCCCCCCCAAATTTTTTTTTTTAAATATACAGTGTTGATCCTGTAGAAAGTAAAGAAAAGTAGAGTAAGTAAAGAAAGTAAAGAAAGTAAAGTATGAGGAGAGAAATAAAATATGCTGCATCTAAAATTAGTATTTTTGTAGTTATTGTATCAATTGATAATTGATAATGCAAATTTAATTAAAATTTTTTTGTAAATATATACTTTTCTTTATATATTTTGTTTTGTTATTATGTATAAATAAATTGATTTCCAGTTCATACATGTAGTGTATTTTTTCATTTTTTAATTCAATTACTTTTTCTAGATTAATCAGATGATGTGTTTGTTCAATATACACATACAGTTAAAAACTATTAAAAATTGTTATGTTTTATTAATTTGGTAAAAAATGTGTAAATAAAAATATCTTCAATTTTATAAAGCTATTTGGCATTTTTTGAAACCACAATTTGTCATGATTCGTATTTTATCTGTGTGAACAAGTCTATGCAAATATCTAACGTTAACTTCATTTTACTTCAAATTATATAAATCATTAAAAATTATATCAAACGTTACAGATTTACTTTTACTTGATAATTTTATTGCAGCAATATTTGCTTTATTTTGATTTATATGAATTTTTATGAAGCCTTTTTATTCCGTTTTATAAAGTTCAATAAGCATTTTGTTTATTTATCATTATTTCTTTTTAAGTTTTATTTTAATGCCCCAAGAAATCATTACGATCTTATCACAGAGTATAGAGGATAAGCATTTAATTTGAAGTTGACGCCTTCCTAACTGATGTTGTAAAAATTGCTCATTGGCGCAGTGGTAGTGCAGTTGCCTCAGTTTCTGAGGCAAGTGCATTACCACTGCGCCCCGGCTGCTCATTAAACAGTCTTAAAAGATAACGTTATAGCATGCCAAAGTTGTTGAAGTGCTTCGTGTGGATTTAAATCCTTTTGTTTTTGCACTTAATTCTTTTTTTTTTTAAATCTTTTCCAATTTTCTAGAATACAAAGTAAAACAATTTTAAAGGTTTCTATTGATATTATATACATAACATATATAAAGATATTATATGCATAACAAACCAAAGGGAGAAAATTTTTTAAAAAGCTTTTTAAAACTTCTAAAAACATTAAAACACTGTTAGAAATTTGTTGTGCATATGTAATGGTAGAGTTTAAGGTTTTAATATGCTTAGTAGTAAATGTTATTAAGACTCTTTCCCTGTTAATTTAAAGAAAGTTTAAGTTTTTATGTAAAATCTTTTTTCTATAAAAAAGAAAGTTGTCTCATAAACACGTACACCTATATTTATGAGACAACTTTCTTTTTTATAGAAAAAAGATTTTACATGGAAACTTAAATTTTCTTGAAATTAACAGGGCACATATAAAAGTTTACAGAAGTTTAAAGTATTGAAAGCTAATAGTAAACTCAAAACTAAGATTTTTATATTTTGCTTTTTTTAAAAAGTTATTGAAATAAAGCAAAATTATTAAAATGGTAGGTGTGGAATAGACTAACTGGCCAGTAATATATTAAAATTCAGTAATAATTATGCCGGTTATGGTAAATCCGTTATTCCACATATTCAAATCATCTCATGTTTTTGAAACTTTTTGTACCAATGGTATTTAACTAACACATTTCATACGGCTATTCTAAATATTATTTGGACTGGTACTGATATCCAATTTGTTTATAAATAGCAATTCGTGCAATGTCTACCAAAACATTTTTAAAAGTTATATGTAATATAAAATTTATTTTATAGCTTTAAAAAGTAAACAATAAGTATAGTTTATATATATGTATTTATTTATTTTTCTATTTCTTACTAAAATACATTGAAGTAAGGAATAAATATAGAAAATGTTGATGAGGAATAAATTTACCAAGACCCGTATTTTAAAGGTCATGACAGCTAGGGTTAGGGTCAGGGTCAGGGTTAGGATTAGGGCTACATATACATATTTAATATTAAAAAAAAATAAAAAGCTGAAAAAAAATAGACATTCTACAATATGCACATTTACAAAATAACACTTCTGGATTTGTTTTTCTTAATTAGTAAATTAAACTTCCTTTGCGTTAATTTATTTTATTTTGGTAGTTTAAAAAAGTTAATGTGCTTGATTGAAAAAAAAAAAAAAAATACTTTTAAAACAAGCTAATGTGCTTAGCTATTTTTATTTAAAACAAGGTCTAATGAAATTAAATATGGAAAAAAGTAAAATTATGCATGTCACTAAAAGAACAAAACTTAACAAAAATATTGCATTTCTAATTGTCAACAGAGTACTGTAGAAATTGAAAACAACCTTGTTGCCATGGTGTCATGTTAAAAAACGATCTGAAATATAACTAGCAGATATGCAGATACATATCTGCATGTATTTCTAATTTTAGATCTTATCCGACACACTAATTCATTAATGAAATATATCAGCGTTTAAAATGCATTTTAAACGCTGATATATTTAAATTGTTAGACGATTTACTAACACACCCTCATCTTGAATTTTCTTCTATTTGGAATCTAATTTTAAAAAAAAAGATATTGAAAGAGTACAACATAGAGCAACATGAATAATTTTAGGCTATTCAGAGCTACTTTATAAGGAAAGATTAAAAAGGCTGAACTTTAGAATCTTATCCATGAGAAGAAAAAGAAGTGACTTAATTATCTTTTTTAAATGTGTTAATAATTTCTATTAGTTTAATATGGTATCTTCCTTAAGGAATTTTTGTCAAACAAAAGCTGGAAGTGTCCATGAATATATCCACAATCAAAGATACATTTCCAAGAAAAGTAAAACTCAATTAAAAGAAATTGTTTTATCAATTGCATCATCCCTGTTTGATGTAGATCTTATTAATTCAGTGTTGGAATTTAAAAAAAAAAACTTGATTATGTGAATTAATAATTTAAATTGTTGTTGTTAAACTTACTGCTAAAGTGATTAACTATTCAGTGAGCCTATGCTCACTGCAGAAAATAAGTAAACAAATATAAATCACTTGTTTAAAATTGTTACGAGAGTTTTTATTCAAATTTTATTTTGACTGTTTGTTTTTTATTATTACCATTTTTTGTTTGAACTTTTATCATTATAATTTTTCATTTATTACTTTTTTTGAATCACTTTTTAGTAATTTATTATACATATTATACATGATATAATAAACATATCCGAAGCAGATATTGTCTCTAATTTTCTAAGTTTTTAAGTTTTTAATCTGTTGACAAGTTTAAGAAGTATAAGTATCTAGGAACATAATTGAAAAAATTTTATTACAATTTTAAAAACATATGTTATTAGTATTCATTAAACAACCATAACAGTTTAGGAAAAATATTCAACACAATTAAGATCAGAATAACTTTTTTTTTCTTTTGACATAAAAATGGATAAAATGGATTTTTAAAGTATTATGTCATAGCCTTTTTTTATCTTTGTAATTAATAATTTTATTTAACTACTTTTAATGCAATTCTTGGAAATAATGTAATACTCTCTGGTAATGAGAATGTTTTACTATTTCTATGAGAACTGACAAATAAATTATGCCTGTTTATGAACGATAAGAATATAAGTACTACACGTATGTTTTCGGTTTTAGTGTATTTCATTAAGGAAACCCCTTTTTTATAAACCTCTAAGAGATTTCTTAATAAAATAATCAATTACCAATTTTACACAGACCCTGTCTTATATTTTAAAAAATTCTTATAATTATAGTCTTTAAATCCTGTTTAAATTTTACAAACTTTTAAATAACTTGCAACATTGAGCAAAGAAATACCTTGCTCAAATATAATATTTCCAATATTAGAATTATAATGTTTGGGCAATTTTGGCATGATCATATTAGCCAATACTGATATGTCATTATTGGCACATTAGCTTAATAATTTAGACATTTTCACATAGTTGTATGCATGCGTAACAAATGTGTAATCATTTTTTAAACACTTTTATATTTTTAATGTCTTACTTAATTTAGGATTATCTTTTCAACCTCCCTGTTTATTATTTTAAGCTATCTTGCCAATATGTCTATTTAATTAAATAACAATTAATTAATAAAAATCAATATGTAATACCTTAAAATTGAAATTAAAATGTGTTTTGTATTCTTGCAAAGTCATAACTTACTATGTAGTTGTTATTAACACTTGTGCAGTTTCCATACTCTCCACATGGATTATCAAAGCAGTAATCAACTTTACTAGAACAAGTTCTTCCGAGAAACCCAGCTGAGCAGTTACATTCAAATGAATTAATTTTATCAGTGCAATTTCCTAAAAATCATGTTTAAAGCAATTAACTTTTATATTTTTATTTTTCTGTATGTTTTTTTTTTGTCTATGTTATTATTTTGTGTCTATGTTTGTTATTATTTTGTGTGTTAATAAGAATATTACTATTAGTATTGCAACATATACTGTGCAAATTTATAAAGATTGCATAATAGTATTAACATTTTGTGTGCAAGAATGTATTAAAATGGGATACCCAATTGCTAAGCAACATAAATTGATACTCTCAACCCTTATTTCTTATATCTCAAACTATAGATAGTTCAAAACAGACAGTTTTACGCCTAGCATTTTTATTGTTTTTATTAATGTTATTTGTTATTATTATTTATCTCTTTTGTTGTTGTGTTGTTATTATTATACTTAGTTTTTGTTATGACCCTTTTTATTTTGTTATTATGTTGTTGTTATTATTATTATTTAACATAGTAAAAATATATCTTAAAAAAATTATTATCAGCTAAGGTTGCTTTTTTTTAGTGTGCCTATTATTTCCTTGCTCTAAATTCTTTATCTTAATATTTATCTTTATCTTATTTATATTTATCTTTATCTTTGCTCGTTTCTTGCTCAGTTGCAAAAATGCATTAAAATATATATTTGAACCTCTTCTAGCAACCTTACTTGAGCATTTTTTAGATTACTCTTAGGTGCTTTTGAATTATTTTTGAACTTATATATAGTTAAAATAGTGATAATTAAAATAATTGCTTTAGACTTTTTTTTAAAAAAAAAAGATGCAAGATTTAGAAGGTCTTGTTAACTTAATGCTGGTTTAGTGACAAAAACTAATGAAAAAAAACAATAAGCTTATCAAAACAATATGCTAGACTTTATCGAAAAATATTGAGCAACAGTCTTTGTTTTACTGCCTCAATTAAATGCAGGACAAAGCCTTTCCAATTAACAGTTAACATCTTAGCCATAAAACAAAAATATTAAAATCTGTATTAATTTTTGGAGAATAAGTTATTAAACTCAAAATAAGATGTTAAAATGTTGTTGATGAATGTTTTTAAACTAAATGAAAAACTAAAAAACCTAATAGGCTACCTAAGCTAATAATAGATTAAAAACTTCTGCATTTCTCTATATAAAAGACACACACAAAAACAAATAAATAGTTAAAATAATATTACTATAGGCATGACTAATATTAAATGATGACTTAAAGCAAACTTCTTCCAAACTTTGCTTAGAAAGCAAACCCCACAAGGCAGCAGAACATTAAACAATAAATGACTTGGCTCTAATGCCAGATCTTGATGGCAATACTCAATACAAAATTTCATCTTCCTCTACACCTGACTTGTTAACTGCTGTGAGTTAAAGATTTTTTTGTGCATTAGATAGAGGCTGTTTGTCATATTTGGGTTAGATACTGTTGTCATATTTGGGTTAGATACTGTTGTCATATTGGGTTAGATACTGTTGTCATATTTGGGTTAGATACTGTTGTCGGGTTGATACTTTTAATGATGCTCTTTCTCTTCTAGGTCCAAAAATGCATTGTAAATGGATTGTAAGTAGTTGGACCTGCTCTATTCCTTTCTAACTATTTCCCGTCTTGATCTCCATACAACATACAACTTTTCAAGTTTTCTGTTAACCGTTTCTTTGCTATACTTTGTTTTCTAGAAACTTCGAAATTAATAGTAGTTGCTTGTAGTCTTGATGGGAAGTAGTGGTTGTTTGTAGCCTTGATGGAAAGTGAATCAGATTTATTAAAAAAATTGCATTTGTTAATGAAACTGCTGTAGATTTTCAAAAAGTCACTTAAGACTATTTTCTGAGATCAGATATAAGATTTAGTCTTTAGAATTGAGCTTATCATCAGATACAACCTTTTTACAATAATTTCTTGCAATAATAAAAAGACTTTTGTACTCAAAAGAGTTGAACTTGTACTCAAAAGAGTTAAACTTGTAAAATAGATGAAAAAAATGATTACAATTAGAAATTGCAGCTTCACAAGATGGTGAATACAATGGAAACCATGGAGTAGAATAAGGCTTGTTTTGAAACTTAAGAGATGGAAAAATTAAAACCAGGGGTTGAATGTTATATAAGTGCTTACTTAAACTTGTCTAACTTGATTTTTAAAAAAAACCTGAAAATTTTCATTTAAACCCACATAACTTGATCATAGTTCAGATCTGACTTTATATTAATCAAATATAAAAAAATAATAAAATTTGAGTTTACCTCCATTTAAGCAGGGATTTGGATTACAGTCATCAATATTGATTTCACATCTTTCACCTTTATAACCACTCCGACATAAGCAGCTATAGTTTGCATTACCATCTTGACATGTTGAGTTGTGTTTGCATTCATTAACTAAGCAATCATCAATATTAATTATACAGAATGTGCCTTCCCATCCAGGTAAACATTTGCATGTGTAAAAGTTAACTCCATCCTTTATTGAGAAAAAAAGTATTTATACTAAGTAAATAATATAATCCATGTCTAAAATGAGATAGTTGAATAAGAGAGATAATCTTACAATACAGGTTCCACCATTTTGACACAAGTTATTGGCACAATCATCTATGTCTGAAAATAATACAAAAGTACTTAGGTTTAAAAGTAAACCAATTAAATCTAGAATAAAATTAAATGTAAAAATAAGTTAACATCAAAAACATATATAAAATAAAAAAATAAACAAAAACAAAAATTCTTTCACATTCTAACTTTAATGAACTACATAATTATTTAATAACTTTTTTTTAATGTATAACATTACTTTTTTTTTTAATATGTATACCTATTTCCAATTTACCTCAAACTTGTTTTGTTGTTTTGATAAGCCTGGTCGTATAAATCAAATGCTATGTTACTAAAAACCTATGTAATTTTTAGTTTCTGTTACTGAAATTATATGTCATGTGACTACTATTTTACAATGATTTTGTTCAAATGCTTCTCAACATCTTTACAAAAAAAAAAAGAAAAAAACAAAAACAAACTGAAAAAAGATAAAATGCAAATTTACTTATAGAGCAGTTCTTGCCATCATACCCTGGAGGACAAGAGCAAATATAATCAGTTCTTTTGTTTATGCACGCAGCTCCATTTTGACATGGATTGATAACACAAGCGTTAAGCTCTGAAAAAAAAAATTACTGATAATAACATCAAAAATGCTAACTGACAATCTTTCAATAAAAAAGCCATAAAAATTTTTAAATAATAAATAACCTTGAGAGCAGTTTTTGCCATAATAACCATCATTACAATTACAAGTAAAACTATTGGGACCAATATTCAGACACTTGGCATCATTTTCACAAGGCAAGTTTCTGCATGAATCCAAGTCTAAAAAAATTTACATCAAGTATATTTAGTTGTATTCAAATGTCATGTATACCATTATCCCGACAAGAAAAAAGGTGCATCACATAAGATAGCTACACTTTATTTCTGGGGATAATGCAGATAGTAACCATTGTTAGCTACCATTTTAGTAGCATAACAAATAAATAATTATTTTTTATGCTACTAAAATGGTAGCTAACATTATTTGTGTAGTGACTAAGTAATAAACATCTCCTCAGAGCTGTGTCTATTATTACAGGTGTTTCGATGACGATCAGCACTAATAACTAGTTTATCTAATTTGATTTAAGCTAATTTGATTTAATTTGATAATGACTTAAGCTAATTTGATAATGACTTAAGCTACATTTGAAACAACCATATCTGAGCATCAAGTCTTCTCAGGAGATGCGTGTGGTTTTTGTCTCATACTTCTATGCATAAGTTTTTTATTTTAAACAACTTGGTCACAACCATTTGCAAGTTTTATTATATTAATCTTTTTAATACTTAGCAGAAAAAACTGTTTCCAAAAACAAAGAATGCAAATAAATAAAATAGAAAATTAAAATAAATTTAAATAGAAAGAAAAAATAATAATATTAATTTGAATAATTTGTGTACTATATTTACTTTTGTTTCTTTAGGGTGGTTGTTATTTTCAGCAACAAAATTGGATAAGACAAAGCATAATAAAAACAGTTTAAATTTGGCATTAAAAAGAATGATTTTCCTTTATTTTATTTGTTTTTTTAAAAAGGGAAGTGAAAATATAAATTGCTATCTGTTTGTAAAATATATTTTTATAATTTCAACATAACAACTATATATTTATAATTACATACATAACAACTATATTTTGTCCCTATACAAATACGCCTATGTAATGTAAACATATATATTTATATACACTCATTATGCATGTACTCAATTATGTATGCGTATATATGTATACAGCTCATAGTCCTTACTTTACATAGAATCATTACATTAGAAGTAAAGTGTTTGTAATTTTAGATACTTGCTGCTTTTTAACATTCGACTCAGTGGGCTTAGTTCTACTGTCTTAGTTCTACCTGGCCCCTCCCTTTTGGTCTATCATGTTATTAGTGAAATATATGTAAACAATTATTAATATTCAATCTGTGGTTGAATTTTGTGTTTTTAAACTGAACATCCAGTCTTCTTTGTTTGACAAGCACTTTCATGCTCTTGTAGTTTTGCACTCACCCACACGCCCGCCCATACTACGGCTGGCACTTAAGCGCTCATCAAAAAAATTCAAGCATGTTTTTAAATTGCAATAAATCTTTTTTCTTAATTAAATTCTAATTAAAGAGGTACAAAAAACAAATATTTTTTAAAATTGTGCATGCCGGACAAATGATTATTGTCTGACCAGCGCTTTTTCGTGCACTGGCAGTAAATTTCAAACAGAGAAGACTGAACATCTGTCCTATTTTTCAATAGTTTTAATAGCCAACTTTTACTCTAATATAATCTTTTCTCCTCCTTCCTTGAGGCTCTAATAACTAGTTTTTGAGTTTGGTTGCAATAAATGTTAATGTAACAAGAATACATTATTATATCCTTGTTACAGTAAATATTAATAAAAACCACCTTGAAAACCAAAAATAAAAAGAGTACACAAATTATTCAAACTACAATTTTTTTATTTTATTTTTACTTTTTAAATTTATTTTAATTTCTTATTTTGTCAGTTTTGCATTCTATGTTTTTAAATCTTAGTTTTTAATGCAAAGTATTGAAACGCTTAATATAATAAAACTTACAAACTATTGTGACCAAGTTGTAAAAACTTATGCGCGGACATACAAGATATAGATATAAATAAGCCTTGCCAGGAGACTTGCTCAATTCTCCTGGCAAGTCTTGAGCATGATTTGGGAAACCAAATAACAAACAACCATGAAGTAGAAAACCAATCCATCATTGCCTTTTGTAAACCAAACCAAATGCTTTTGGTTAAATGGTATTAACTAAAAAAAAACCTTTAAAAGACAAACTGAAATATACAACAACAGTATAGTTCAAAAAACTAGTCTAATATTAGTTTGTCAACATTAGACCATCCATATTCTAAAAATTTAAATTCAAAAAACAAAACAAAACACACAAATATTTTAAGTGTTTTTGAATATTAAGTATTCAAATGCTAAAATTGGATGATTTACTGTAAACAGACTAATAGCCGACTAGTTTGTTGAACTATAAAATTTGATTTTAGGATGTAAAAATATAATTTGATTTCAAGATGTTAAAATTTTGCAAAGTTTTGTTAAGTAATAGACAAATCATGAACTTATTTTTAATATTTTGTTTACTTTGATATATTGTAACTTTTATTATTTAATATTTTGCCATTTAAAAATTTTGAATAAAAGTATTAAAACTAATACAATTTAAAATAAAGAAAATAAGAAAAACCTTCATCGCAAAGATACCCACTCCATTTATCATGACAGATACAATCATTGCCTTTGATACAATAACCATTTACTACAATAGAAGAACATTGTAATAAAAAAAACTAAATACCGAATAAAGATGATAAATAATTTTATAGTTTATATATAAAAACTCATTGTTTAATATATAATTTATTTACAGGAAGTGGAAGTTGTTTATCAAAAATATATATATATATATATATATACATATATATATATATATATATATATATATACACATATACATATATATATATATATATATATATATATATACATATATATATATATATATATATATATATATATATATATATATATATATATATATATATATATATATATATAATATATATATATATATATATATATATATATATATATATATATATATATATATATATATATATATATATATATATATACGTATATATATATATTTATATATATATTTATATATATATATATGTATATATATATATATATATGTATATATATATATATATATATATATATATATATATATATATATATATATATATATATATATATATATATATATATATATATATATATATATATATATATACATAAATATAAATATATATATATAGAATATATACAGTATATTTTATATATATGACAAAATCAGTCCAATTGCAATCATGGACGCATTTGTCCTTTGAGGCTCATCAACATGTATATTAATATTAACTCAAATCATTCACCCTAAATTTGAAAACAAATTCCGATTTTAATTAATAACAGGCTAAACCAATACTCGTCTAATGAAAATGTATTCAATTCCTCTAAACAAATATTTGAAGATGCCCTTAAAAAAAGCAGTTTTAAAAATTTTGAACTAAAATTTGACCCTGAAAAAAGCGAAATAGAAATAGAAATGTAATTTGGTTCAACCCCCCATATAGCAAAAATGTTTCCACTAACATAGGAAAAGTATTTTTAAAATTGGTCAAAAAGCATTTCCCACCCTCTAATAAATTACATAAAAGTATTTAATCAAAATACAATTAAAATTAGGTACAGTTGTACAAAAAATATGTCAAAAATAATAAGATTGCAATAATGCTTTGTTATACAAAAAAAATCCTACATTGTAAAAAAAAAAACAATTGTCCAATGAGTGGAAGTTGTTTATCAAAAAATGTGGTATGTAAATGTGTTGTTTCCTCTAAGAATGTACTTTTATTTTTATTTTTAAGAATGTACTTGATAAACCATGTATTGGCATAACAGAGGGTGAATGGAAAAAGTTTTTGCCAATTATAACCAACCCTTTAAAAATTAAGACATCATGCTGTCAAAATTATTATGGGAATTAAAAGATGAAAATATTGATGATTTTAAAATGAATTGGTTATTCCTTAAAACAGCACCTGCATATAACAATATTTCCAAAAAATGCATAATATGCCTACAAGAAATAATTATACATGCAAACCAAGAATGTTTATTAAACAAAAAATCGGAATTAATTTTAATGCAGACACGCAAGTTTCTCCTAAAAAACTATAAAAACAAGTGAGCTCAAATAATAATTACATTGAATCCCATCTTTTAAATTTTTTTTTTTTAAAAAAAAGCAAGTAATTAATTCTAAAGAATTCTTTTTATAATAGTGTCAGCATATTACACAAATGTGTGAAAATTTACAGTATTTATGACATTTGCGACTTCCTATAATTTAAGTTTTTGGTATAAATTGAAGTTTTATTAATTTGATTATTCATTTCTATTGAGTCTTTATTGATGAAACACAGTGTTAAATGAAAAAAATATTTTGCTAAGTGATTTTCTATTTCTTTATAATTGCTCTGTTTTTTTAAGAACATTAAGCACTCTGTAGAATACATTTAAAAGTTATAGACAACGCAATGATTTTTATGAAGCACATAATTGTCCAAACAAGCAATTTGTCAAATTTGCGAATTGGGCTCTAGAGTAGTTAGTAACTGACCTGCTGTTAAGTGTTAATGCCATGTATTGATCTTTCAAATAAATAAAAAAGTTTAATTTTTTGTGTTTTTCCAATTTGAAGTTCTACCGAGCTTAAAAAAACTTTTACAATTATAAATTTTTTATAAAAAATTTTTGTTGGATTATGGTTACCAGCATCATCAGCTAGTAAAAATTATACTAAATTATTTTTTTTTGTAATGTTAGAAACAGTTTTAAACTAACTAATGTCAGCACATAAGTGGCTTCGTTCTTGTTTAGATAAAAATGTAAAAAATTTATTTTCACAAGAAGAATTAATATTATTTTATGTTTTCTTACTAAAATAAAAAAAAAATATATATATATATATATATATATATATATATATATACATATATACATATATAATATATACATATATACATATATACATATATACATATATACATATATACATACATACATATATACATACATACATATATACATATATACATATATACATATATATATATAAATTAATGAAACCCAAAAATACTAAAACTTTTAATTGCTCTTTGAGTTAATAGCCCAATGTTGATAAAATAGACTTTTAAGAAATCTGTATAGAATTTTTTAAGTGATTATTTTAATAAGATATTTAAAGACAAAATTTAACTAAATTTAAAAAGCTTTTGTTATTAAAATTATAACTTATATTATTTATAACTTAATTAAAATTATAAATTCATTTCAGAATAAAAAAAAGTTTAAGTTTGTGAAAACGTTTGCTAAAAAGTTATAAAAGTTCTTTTAGCGTTAGCAACAAAACAACATTAAAAATGTTTTAACGAAAAGAAATCGTTATTTCATTGTTTTAATGTTTTAATGATGTAAAAATTTTGAGTTTTACGGGCGCCAAACATCGCGCTGAATAATTTTCTTCATGCCGAGGCCTGATATATATATATATATATATACTCCATTTCTGACTGCGAATTTATAATTTTTTGCAACGACTTAACCACAGCTTTTGAAAACGTTTGAAAAATGTGGTAAAAAAAGAGAGAAATTGCATTTAAAGATTGTTTACTATAAAAAATATTTATTTAAATTATCAAAGGAAATTTTTAAAAGTGAATTTTTTACAATGAATATAAATGTTTTTAAAAAAACTTTGTACAATTAATTTTATAATCAACAACAAAAACGAATTTTTTAAATAAACTTTTTGATGAATTCTTAACATTACTAGTCAAAAAACATAACACAGTATATTTTTTTTAATATTCTTTTTGTTATGCTATGTAAAATTTCTAATAAAATTTATTTACACTAAGCTAAACGCTTTCAAATAAAGTTTTAAAACGTCATTAAATAAATTATCATAGAATATTAAAAAAAATTTTCATTTTTAAAGTATTTTTTTAATGATGAATGTAATATTTTTGAAATAATTTATGATTGTTTATTATTTTTAATTTAATAAACAACGATGACAATGAATGCATTTTAATAAACTTTTTTTATAAATACTTTTTGATGATTTAAAAAAAGTTAGTTTTTTATTAAACAATAATTAGATTTTTTTATTTAAAAGAGCCTAACACTATAAAAACATTACAAAAGATCAAAATTTTATAGTTCATCTTGTTAGTTTCAAAAAGGTTAATAACTGTATTAGGAGAATTTAAAAAAAACTTTTTATTTTTTTTAATGTTTAATTAAAATTATTTAAATTATTATTAAAATTAAGTTAAAAAGTTCAGTACTACAGTACTACTTGTAGGGAACATTTATAAAAATTCCTCACAAACTTTTGTAGCACCGCCAGTATCAACAGTTCATCAGGAAATAAGCTATCAGGTATAAATGCATAATTTGGAGAATCTAATGAAAGTGCAGACTATTTAATAGGGGGTAGTGAAAACAACTAAATACTTTATATTTGAACATTAGTATTAATGACTTTTTTTTTCAAATGGAAAACTTGTTGTTTTTTACATTGAAAACAAAAGTCATGAATAAATTGTATATAAAAAATGTTTTTATTTTTGTTATAGTCTTATCTGCTTTTTTCCTCAACTTGTAACAGCTTTGGTA